GGCTTCTAGGTGTTAACACATGGCATCACACTCCCCCACCCCATGCCCCCACCCAGCACATGCCACCCATCCTTGTAGCTATCTCAAACCACTCTCAGGCCCTAGAGAGCATGCTGAGATCTCACTGTTTCATACTCTGAATTCTCTCATTCGCACAGGCTGTCCCCTCCCTCCTTGTTGACCTTGGCACTTCTTCTTCAGGACTCAGTTCTGATGGAGCCACCTCCAAGAAGCCATGAGGGGTCTCAGTTGGATCTGGGTACTCCTCTGAGCCCACACAGCGCCTCTGCACACCCCTGGCATCTGTTCACACATCTCTTTCCCTAACAACACCTCAAGTTCATAGAGGACACACAACACACGTTATCTAATTCTATATCCCCTGTAGCTAGCACAGGGCTTGACACAGAGGCACTCAATAGACAGTGGTTGATTAAATGAGTGAACCAAGACCCCACTCAGCTAGGTGATCATGAGAAGGTATTATCATTATATTGTAATAATGATAACTGCTATCACCATGTACCAAGACTGTGCTGATCTCTTTATCCACAGAGTAACAATAGCTCATGAATGTTGATTACTGTCTATGTTCTGCACAGGCCAGTCACTGCAGACCTGTTATCTTCATCACAGTTCACCCAGGCTCAGAGAATAAAGCACCTGCCCGAGGCACACAGCTGAAGCCCCAAGCCCAGGTCCTCCTGACTCTTTCCCTGAGCCCTGCCTCCTCCCAGAGGGGGCCACTACTCCTGATTACTCTGTTTTGGCTCCTCTTCCCACCCTCTCAGTCCCCCTTTTGAGGCCCCAGTGTCTGGACAGACCAGCATCACACTTCTGCATACTGCCCAATTATTGGCCTCTGCAATGGTAGCGCTGTGACTTAGCCTTTAGGCTACCAGGGAGGCCCTACCTGCCCAATTAATGCGAAGGTTGTTTTCCTCTACCCCCAGGAAAACTCAGAAGGGCTGGAGTGTGCAGAGTCGGAGGTCCCTGCTGGTGCTAGGAAACAACACAGGCATTCAGCAGCAGGAGCTGCCTAGTCTGACAGCTGATGGTTAACCCTTACACAGCTGCCTCCTGAATGGGCCTGGAGAATTGATACCTCTCAACAATAATCTCCTCTACTGAGTTAATTTCCAGAACGTGAGACTAATAGATGGAAGGAGATTTTGGAGACAGCTAGCACATCCCCCAAAAGTCTCCTCTGGTGCTCTATGACTTACCTGTTGCACTAGTCCTTTCAGGTCTTGGAAGCACAGGAATCTGGGGAGAGCTTGACACCCTGCTCACTAATCTCCCCCAAAGGAATAAATACCAGAAATTGCCTGGGCATTTCCTCACTGGAAATGTATTCCACTGTATCCCCAGGAAAAATTAAGTCAAGAGTCTCGAAGTGGGTCACCCTGGATGACAAGAAATCTTGGGGTGAAGGTATTCATTCCCCAGACATTTTCCAAACACTTTCTACACTTCTGGCTCTGTGCTGGGTGCTGGAAACAGGAGGAACATCAGACAAGATTCCAGTCCAGATCCAAGGGGGAGACAGACAGATTGGCAGGTGTGATAACATATACCTATGTAAAGAGTGACACCTGAACAGGGTGGCAGAGGGGCAAAAAGGAGGAAAGCATCAGTAGTTTGGTGAAGGGGTGGAGGGTCAGGAAACAGCCAAAAGCAGAAGCCACAGGGCTGGGTACTAAAGGATGAGTAGGTGCCCCCAGACAGACAAAGCAGAAGTGGAGGCATTTGCAGTAGCAGTGGACGGCAGAGGACAAGAGGCTTGAGTGGAGGTTTAGCCATTGTGAGCTGTGCTTTAGAGCTTGAGTTTATGGTACAAGAGAGGTCATGGCAAGAGACAAGGACTTGGGGCAGGGACCTGATCCTAAGGACCTTGACCTCATCCTAAGGACAGGTGAACCACAGAAGGGTTGTTAGAAACAGAATGATAAACACTGTGTAGGACTTTAGAAAAACCACTCTGGCTATAGCGTGGAGGGTGGGATGCAGAGGGGAGGGACCAATCAGCTGGAGGACAAAAGACCAGCTAGGAGGTTGATGCCATTTAAGGCAAACATTTTTATGGGGACCCAACTTAGGAGCTTCACCCTCTTTATATATATGGACACACACACACACACACACACACACACACACACACACACACTTAATATGGTCTGTGCACTATTGCGATCTCCACTAGAGGGAGTAAGAAACTAAAGCACAGAGAGGCTAAGTTGCTTGTCCAAGGGCACACAGTAAGTGGTAGACTCCGGATTTGAACCACTGGTACAGCTTGAGCATCCATGTTCTTAACCATGACATTACAGCGCCACTCTGTCAATGATGAAGACTTGAGACAAGGCAGTGTGGTTACAGGAAAGTATTCTGGATGGGCCTGCCTCTGTATTTGGAGCTCCCCCGAAATAGCTTCTGGTTTCCACAGACAGAGGGGTATACTCTAATTCTGAGGCCCTTCGAAAAAACCTACAGTATGAAATGTTAAGGGGCTGGAAACTGCCAGGACAGGGCCTTGATGGGAAGCCACTAGGGGTCACTTGAGTCCCCAGGAACATTTACCTTTGGAAAATGGAGGTAATAGTTTTACTTGGGTGGGTATGTGCCTGCAAACTCTTCAGAGACAGGAAAGCAGAATACAGGGAGGAAAGAGACCCTCCTTTTTTCAACTCCTTAAGCACTGACACAAGCCATACCTGCCGGAGAGGGTGAGGTCAGGTGGCCCCTGAAGGTGCTGTGTTCTTGCAGGAAGAGATAGGCCCGGCCTAACAACATGTGGCCAAGGATATGACCCCCTGTGCCCCTGGAGTAGCTCCACTTTCCACCCTTCCAAAAACACTACTAGGAGGGACAGGTCTTGTTGGGGACTGGAAGGAGAGGCAACAATTCTACCCCAAAGGTCCTCAGAAGAAAGGCCGGGGATCAGTGAAAGCGGTTACATGTGTTTTCTGTGTAATGCATTTGGTTCTATGAAAAGTGGAACTTTGAACTTGCTGTCTCTGGACTTGGGATGATGTTTTAGAGCCTCATTTTCTCATCTTTAAAAATGGAATAAGGGCCTCCCTTGTGGTGCAGGGGTTAAAGAGTGCTGTCAAGCTATCACCAGGCACTGCAGCATGAGTTCGATCCCCGGTCGACCAGAGAAAAATTCACATGGTGCAGCAGATCTCTCCTGCCTCACCCGCTGCTCCTCTCAGCAGTGTATTTCAGAAGATCTGCCTGTTCTGCTCCTTACATTCTCTGGTGAATCCTCTCACCCCCCGTACCTCTGGCTTATACCCCAGTTCTTGTATGCATAAATAAATAGATCTTTAAAAAAATAAAATGGGAATAAAATTCATTGCTAATGTAGGATTGTGGTGAATGTCAAAAGTTAATCTTGGCGGCCGTCCTGTGCAGGATGATATTTGGTAGAGCATGTAGTACGACTTGGAGCTGGAGTCAGGGGCCACTGGTACTTGAATGTGACACTGAACTTCAATCTTACTCCAGGGACTGATAATTAGTGGTCAGAAAAAAAAAACAAAAACACAAGCAATAAGGTATCACTAAACACATTCTTTCATCTTTGTGGAACTCAGAATTCTGTTTGAAGATTGGAAAAAGTCACTTAGATGCATGTATTAATGATACCTGCTAGTAAGGCAGGGAAGCCAGCAATTAGGAATTCTCCAAAGAGAAGCTGAAAAGCCCTGAAAACAAGGAATGCTTTGAGAACAGACAATTCAGAGTTACCCTACATACACGCTTAAAACAAAGCAAGAAGGGCAAGACTGAAGCCAGGGTCATCATCCTAGTCTAGTCCCATCAGCCAATCAGAGGTCCGCCTGGCAGGCATCTGGGCCCACACCTGTTGGAACAGTGGCATCTCTTCACTAAACCAGAAAAAGCTTTGTCAGAGACGAGGCGGTCAAGCAATGAAGCATACGACGAGCTGGTAAAATCACCACCAGAGCATCACAAATAAACGCATGCAACAACCTTCCCTGCACCAGTGGGGATGTCCAAAACCACCTAAGGGGGATTTGCACACAAATGGCCGGACAGGCGCTCACCATGCTGGGGCTTGGCACCAGAACTTCTCCTAGGCAGACCGTGCAAGGCAGATACCTTCTGTCCGACAGCTGCGTTATCCAGACCCACAGCGTGGGGGAACCAGCACAGCAAATGGTTTACAAACCCCGAGCACAGCTTCTTCTGGCCCGGCTGCTCACATCACTATCTCTGCCAGCTGTATCCCCCACTGCAGGAGCTGGTTCCTCTAGACTGGGAGACCCAGACTCGCACTGTGGCCCCTTGTGGGGTCAAGAGCCGCACCAGTGCTCACCACTGCTCAGTTCCCCTGATGCTTAGCAAGCACTTTTAAAAAGTAGCAAAAAGGGTGGCTACCTCGCCCACCAAACTGCAGCTTCAGTGTTGGTTGATATTTTGGGAATTCCGTCCAACAACTCACTCTCCCCTCTCCTCCCCCAAATGGAAGTGTTTTGGAACTCTGGAGCTTTCAGCTGCTTAGGGCTTCTGCACGGTTCTCCTGATGGCCCATTTTTAAAAGAGCTTCCTATTGGCTTTTCAAGACAACAAGCTCACACTACAGACCAGCTTCCCTCTCTTCCCATCCCTTCACCTCCGCCTCAGGGCAGCTGCCTGGAGTCCTCTGGATCTGAGGGTGAGGCCCGGCAGGAGGGGGCTTAATATTCACAGAGGGCACCCTAATGGGCAGAGTTGAGGGGCTTGGAAGCTGACACTAGAAGGAGGTGAGCCAGGACAACCGGAGGAGGCAGCGCCTCCTCCAATTGTGTTCAACTTCCCACAGCCTGGAGAAGACTCAGGGGACCCACAAGCGGGTTAGGCCTTGACATCAAGGAGTGGTATCACCAGAGGGGGCCTGGTGGCAGGGCGGGGAGGCAAAGGGACCGGCCAGCCCCGGGACGCCGGAGAGAGGGAGGGAGGGAGGGAGAAGGTTCGCGCGGAGGGCAACTCACAGAGGAGAAGTTGTGCGGCCCGCAGAGCTCGCCGCGGTACTTGCAGGAGAGTAGCATGTCCTCGAGCTGGTGGCCCAGGCGGTCCATGAAGGCGGCGCTGATACCCTCGAAGTGGCGCGGCGGCAGGAAGAGGCGGAAGTCCGCCAGCTTGCGGAACCACTGGCGGCGCGGCTCGTCGCCCCGCAGCAGCTCGCTGACCAGCGGGCGCGCGGTGCGGTTGGGCAGCAGCAGCCCGAGCCAGTGGCCGGCGTAGTAGAGGTCCCCCTTGGAGAGGCGCGGGAAGCGCAGCGGGTTGTTGTTGCACACCGTGACGGCCGGGAAGGGCAGCTGGCGGCTCCACTCGCGGTGCACCCGCGTGTGCGAAGGGAAGCTGAGCCAGTAGAGCAGGCGGTTCGAGGACCAGGACAGCAGCAAGCCCAGGGACGTACAGAAGGCCAGCACCCACAGCGCCCGCCGCTGGAAGGAGCCCCCCGCCGCCGTGCGCCCGGCGCACATGTGCCGCAGCCCGTGCAGTTTAGCGCGGCTCAGCGACGGCCGCCCCCTGCGGGCGACCCCTGGCCCCTGCAGCGTCCGCTCGCGCTCGCCGCCCCTGCCGCCCCCGGGCTGCCCGGCCGCCGCCAACGCCGCGGGCGCCGGCTCCTCGCGCGCCATGCGGAAGCGTCCCGGGCCGGAGAGCGCGGCCGCGGGCAGCCGGGCTCCGCCGCTCCGGCTCATTCATTCAGCCCGCGGCTGGCGGCAGCGGCGGCGGCCCCGGCCGGGCGGAGCCGCCATGGGAGTCCGCAGCAGCAGTGGGAACAGCAGCAGCAGCGACCGCGCGCAGCCGGCGCCGGGAAAGCGTGCGCCCGAAAGGAGCTCCAGTGGCGCTGCATGCCCGCCCGGCGCCAACGCCGCCGCCTCCGCGAGCGCCCGCCGGGGACTGAGCGCCGCCGCGGCCCGCGCCCCTGGCCCGAGCCTCTTCCGAGGGCGTCCCAGGCGCCCCTGGAGCCCGGGCTTCCCGAGGGCCGTCCGGCGCCCGCCGCTACCTCCGGAGGGGCCCCGCCGGGCGCCGCCTCTCCAGTCCCCGGGCGCTGCGCCCGCCTCCCCTAGTTCTGGACCTCGGGGGACCCTGAGCTGAGCCCCCCCTGCTCCGCCTAACCCCAGCTTTTGCGTTGGCCCTGGGAGAGGGGCCACTCGGCCACCATGCCGGGGTTGGACATCCCGAAGGACCCCAGCAGCCCAGCCGGCAGCCCAGCGGTGCTGGGACACGGGAGAGAGGACGCCAGGGAACGAGCGCCCCCAGAGGAGCACCTCCGCTCGGGGCTCGGCGGGTGGGGTGGGTGTGTACCGGGGTGAGAGGTCGCCCCGCTAGCGGCTGCCCGCTTTCCCCTCCCTCCAGGACCCGCTCACTGCTCCCCGCGCTGCGCGCCGCCGAGACCTGCCGAGGCGCCCCGAGTCCTGTGTCCGAGTCCTGCGCGGCGGTGAGCCCGCTCTCGTCTGGGGCGGGGGCCGCCCAGGGCGCGCTGCCGGGGGCCGCCTGCGCTGGGCCCCCTCGGGGCTGCTGCCGGAGGAAGCGGGCGTCTGCCCGGAGTGCCCCGAGTCTCCAGAAGAGCCTGGCCTCCTGTCCCCTGCCTCTTTTCCTCCCTGCCCCGGCGTCGTCGGGAGCCGCGGACTGCGGAGCCCCGGCTACACCTCCCGGACTCCCGGCTCCGCTCGCCCTTCTCTCGAGGCTCAAGCCCGCGGCGGCGCGGCGCCGGCTGCGCTCCTCTCGCGGCGGCCCGGCCCTCCTCGGGCCTCGGGCGAACTTGGGCAGCGGCCGCCGACGCCGGCGCGGCGGGCTCCGAGCACCTGCTCCACCGCTCGCGGGCCCCGCGGCTCCGGAGGGCGGGGCGGTGGCGGCGAGCGCGGTGCGCTCCTGGAGACGCGGTGCTGACGCGCCCGACTCCTCCTCGCTGCATTTTAATTCCTGGCCACTGTGGCCGCTGCACACCGAGCGGGAAGCCTCTCGCTGGAGTCAGCCCGCCGGGCGGGGGGTGCCTGGTCCAGATGCGCCGGGGAGTGCGGGCTTGTGGAGATGCGGAGTAGTAGAAACGCTGTGTTTGTGTGGGGCCGTGTGTAACCGAGGGCGAGGGCGCTTCTGAGTGCTGGAAATGGGCGGTGGAGACAGTCGTAGTGGAGTGTGGCATTTGAGCAGTGGAGCGTGGTGGCCCGCGCTCAGTTGGGTAGGGTGTGTGTGTGTGTGTGTGTGTGTGTGTGCGCGCGCGCGCGCGCGCCTTTCTGGGTCTCCTAAACATGAGTTTCTTTACAGATGAGGTGCTGTGGTTATTTGAATGTGTGTGGAGTAGGACGTATCTGTGGTGATGTGTGTGTTCTCTCTGCGTGTGCACGCGTGATGGGTGATAGATATGAATGGGTGTGTTGATACGTGGATGGATATCAGGATTTCTGGATGTGGTGTGTGGTTCCTGTGCTTTGCCTTTGTGCGTGTTGTATAGATTAGAATGTGTGTTGAGGTGCTGGCAGCAGCCACTGGTTGTCTGGCAGGTTGGGCTTAGGGGAACAGCCTTTCCCCTGTCTCTTAGAAGCTTCCCTATGTGCCCCAGTCCCTTCCCTGAGGGTGTGCTGCTCACCTGCCCTGGTCTAGTCAGTCCAGCACAGCTCTTCTAAGAGAGGAGGAAGAAGGAGCATGGAGTGCTCTAGCGGCTGCTAGAGACAGAAGACGATCTCTGCCATTCTCCCAGCTGGTCACTAGCCCATGGACTGATGGCCCTTCCTGCCTGAACAGGCTCAGGATTGTCCACCCAGCCCTGGCACTTTTGGACACTTTCATCAGCCTTTTTAATGCTCTTCCTTGGCATGCTCAGGGGATAGGTGAAAGAGGGAGTAGAACGGCTAGTTCCATTTCACAGGTGAGACTAAGGAGGTCAAACAGTTGTCCAAGGTCATACAGCCTGTAAGTGGTGGGTCTGGGGTTCAGCACCCAGGGGCACCACAGGGCCTTACAATGTGGACTCTCCACTGAGTACCTCCAGGGCAGGGCAGGAATCCTGCGCCCATGGCTGCCTCGCAATGGGTGGTACCCAGTGGGTCTCAACACTTTTCCCCCAAATAATTGATTCCCTGAGGCCTTACTGGGACAGGTAACGCATTGAGTCCCATTATTCCATGGACTGAAAGAGTTTTCCAGACATTTTCCAGAAGGTCGATGGAGTTAGAGGAAGTGTGGAGGGATTCTGGCTGTGGGGGGTGGGGTGTCAAGAGAAGATGAGGGATTTGGGGGCTAGAGGATTTGGATTTGGGCCTGGAGTGGAATTTCACCAACTTCGTGATGATTTATTAAAGGCACTGTGGACAGACGATTGAAAGAATATCAAGTTTCTGAGTGATGGTAGGGTGGCCTTTCCCTCCACACTGACCAGGGGGGGCATCCAGCCAAGACAATTCTCTGCATCTGATCTCTGGAGAGGAGGACATCTGAGCTCCCCATACCCCACTCACTCACAACCCTCACCTATATGCACACACATGAATGCATACACACGCACATACACACCTGTCCCGGGAGATCCTTCTGATTCACCTCAGAACAAAGCTACTAATGTTGGGTTTTGCTGAAATTCTGCTTTGGATTTGCTTCCTTGAAGATATCTGTATGTCTGCTGCCATCTGTGTGTCTGAATCTGCCAGTTTCACAGGGCTCTCTCACAAAGGTACACAGTGCAATGCTCCCAGCCTGGTCCTGTAAGTCTGGGAGGGAAGCTGAGACTTGAAGAAAGAGAGAAACTGGGGGTGGGGGTCACGGAGAGACCCATCCTGGGCAAGGAGGGCTGACTGTGGGCTCAGCGTAGCTACTGATGAAGGCACCAGGGCGAGCAGACAACATGTCTAGCGGTCCTAGCTCTGGGCTGGCACCAAGCTCTCTGTCTGATAGACATCTTTACGTTTCTGATTTGTTCATTCGTTGTGGGCTTTTTCTTTCCTGGCGGTTTCCCCCTTGAAATGCACACATGCTACCTTGGTTGCCAGAGTGATTTCACTGCCATGGACTCTCTGGTTAATTCTCCAGATGGGCCACTTCTCCAGAGAAAGGAGGGATATAAGCTACAGGAGTCTAGGCACAGAAATCCAGAGGTAGACACCGGGATGTCTAGTGACCCCAAGCAATGCTCTCCAGCTCTCTTCATGGTGCATGTATGTGGCGTGCGGTCTCTGCTGCCTGAAATACTGCTGGCCAATGCTTTATCTAGCTCCATGAAGTTCTACTCTTCCTTCAAGTCTCAGCTTGCATCCACATATAGACTTCTTTGATTCACCTAGTCAAACTTGGGTCTTCTTTCACTCTGATCCCACTTCACCTTGGTTTGATACCTCCCTTAAAGCCCTTGTCATAGCCCCTTGTCCTTGCTTGTGTCCAGGCCTGAGTCTGAGCCATCACTCCTCTGACAGGGACTGCATCTCATTGGTGTTTGTGTCCCAACCTTTTTGCACAGTGCCTGGCACAGACACAGCACGCTGACAGAGACAGGGAGAGGGGGAAGGAGCCAAGATTCCTTGACTCTCTATATGCCCAGCATATAGACTCATAAATGTTTAATTTCTCACTCCAATGCTGCAGGGGAGATATTTTTGCTCTTTTCATAGTTGTTGAATCAAGGGTTCAGAGAGCAGGAATTGAATGAAGTTCTAACTCATTCCAAACCCCAAGATTTTCCCTCTCCATTGTGCTCCTTTCAAAAGATTAAGATAAGTAATAGTAATAATAAAAGAGTGCTATAAATTTGGGACTTCCTAAGCACAAGGGCCCGTTTTAAGTGACTTACACTAAAAACAAGCATCATAAGTATCCTTGTGAAATATAAATATATATGTTTGGTCTTCATCCCTTTTTAGGATCAGAGCTCCTCAAATCCTTGAAATTTCCTAAGTGAGGAAAACAACAAAGGTGCCTTTTTCTCTGTTTATGAGGTGACTTTTGAACCTGCCTACCGATGGGTGCTGGTTCATTCTAAGGAGAAACAACCTTAGGATGGGAGGGTTGGAACTTCCTACCCAGTCCCCACATCTATAGAGAGGGGAGAGGGCCTGGAGATTGAATCAATTTATGGCTAATGAGTTTATCAATCAGGACCCAGAGAACTTCAGGGCCGGTGACTCTGCGGACCTCTAGGGGGAGAATAGCCCTTCAGCAGAGGGCATGGAAGCCCACTGCCCTCCCCCCACACCTTGCCCTATGCAGCCCTTCCACCCCACTGTTTGAATTCCATCCTGTTATGATAAACTGGTGAGTGAGTAGGTAAAATATTCTCTGAGTTCTGTGAGTTGTTCTAGCAAATTGACTGAACCCAAGGAGGGGGTCCTGGGAACTTCTGGCTTCTAACCAGTTGGTCAGAAGCACTATATCGCTAACAGTTGGATTTGGGGCTGGTGTCTGAAGTAAGGGGGAAATCTTGTGGGGCTGAAACTTCAGCTTGTGAATCTGATGCTTTCTCCAGACAGACTGACTCAGGATTGAGTTAAATTGTAGGCTATCCAACCCAGTTAGTGACTGGAGATGTGGGGATGCCCCTCCCCTCCCACACATGCACACTAGAAACTGGGTCTCAGTAAAGTCCAAAACAGATTCTCAAAACAATCCTATGAAGTAATCACTATTATTTATCTACTTCAAAAAGCAGGAATCCTTACCACAGAGAGGCTGAGCTACTCACCCTGAGCCACAAAGCTACTAAGCAGCAGTCTTGGCCCACCCCCTGTGACCCCCAACCCTAGAACACACCATCTCGGTCCTCAGAGCAACACTGACACACAGTTCATGCGAATTAGCTTTCCCATCCTGGCAGACTCACTTGGCTGGAAAAAATAATTCACAAGGCAGAACATGAGGTGACCCACATAACTTATCCACCAAGAAATTAGAATTTAGCATTGTAATTCCCCAGTAATAAGCTTTTTTTTTTTTTTAAAAAAATCCCTTTTCTTGTTTATCTCCCAAACATCTGTTGCTCCCCACCTGGCATGCCAGGGTTCTATGTGATGCTGTGTGTGGGGGGAGGCTGCCTCAATAGTCACAGCCCACATTCCGGTGTGTCCCCACTACTGTGAACCATGTGCCCCTTCTCCTGTGAAATGAGTTTGTTGGGAAAAGGAGGTCAATTTAAGTCAAAGTGATGTTCTGTTTTCACAATACAATTTCAGGAGCTGACACTTTCGTGGGTTCAATCTGGTTTCACCAGAACCCCCACCCCCATATTCTGGTTCAGTTATGCCCACTATGGGGTCCCACATTGAGGGGTATGAGATACCATTACCCCACCTGCCTTAGGAATCCCTTCTGCAGGTTCCACCATCGACAGTGTACCGGTGACTCATTCTTTTCTGGAACATCCGGCAGCATTTCAAACTTCTTCCTTTCATCAAATTGGAATCTGTCTCCTTGCAAATTTCTCTCATTTCTACTAATTTATCCCTGGGCAATTCCACAAACTACATTTGATCTTTCTTTCACAGGGGAACCCTTCATTGCCTTTATGGAGTAATATCATCTCCAGGCTAAGGGGGACTCTAGTGTTCACCTAGTAAAATTTTCAAGATAGTCTTTTCTTCTCCAGGCTAGAGGTCACCAGTTGCTTCTCCTGTACTTTGTGCTCTTGGGATAGGCTCTTGTATGACGACTTCCTTAAAATATGACCCTCTAACCCTACAGGGTGAGCCCACAGTCCCTTTATATTGGACCTAGTCCCTTCTTCCAGCCTCCGTTCTTTCCTCTCATGGCCTTGGGTCCTTAATTGCCCTGTTACCCCAGGGATTGAGTGGCAATAATGGAAGGGAAGGGTGGGGACAGAAACGGGTGTTGGTGTGTCCTTCTAGAATGCTGAGTGC